AAGCTTCAGTCCAAGTCATTAAACTAAGTTGAACATTTATGTTTCCTTGACCTGTATTAAAATGTTTCTTTTCCCTTTAGCCAATAATTGTATTCAATTAAAAAAATGTAATTGTGATTGAATTAATTGCAATTTAATTTTAATTACATTTAAATTCCAGGAGGCATCTGGCACCCTTTGAGGTTTGTGGAAATATAGTTTACCTCAGTGTAATTAATGCAGTGCTCAAGTTCTCTCTGAAGAATGATGTTTAAAATCAGCCATCCTGGGGATGAGGCTATCCATTGCAATTCAGATCCAAGTGGAAGGAGTAAAAAAAAAAATCATCTGAATTTCATCAGGCAGTTGTAATCAGGCAGCTGTTTAAGTCTTTATGGTAAGTTCAGCAAAACGTATATGCGCAGTAGGTGTAGCTCTAATACATAGTCAAGTAATGTTACAGATTTGAAGAAGAGGGAGCACTATATAGATCTGTAGTTAAAGAAGCCTTCCTAAATAATCTTTTGAAAGTGGTCCTCATAGCAATTTAACTGCAGAGAGGTAACTGTGAAAAATCTTTATGTAGGAGATTTTGGATAAAAATCTGCCTAAGAGAATGTTCAAACTCTTTCTGGTGATTACATTCATGGGAGAGTCAGTTCCTACATTCAATTAAGTCTTTTTTCAGATGCTCAGTAGGTCATAGAGAGCTTCTCCAATGTGCTGTGTATTAGGTTGGTTTGCACAACAAACTAGGCACAAATTAGCCATGCACAGTTTGTTAGCATGTTGGGTAAAAGCAGCCCATATGAACAGATTAGGATTGTGCAAAGCTAGAACTTTGGGTTGAGTAAATCATCTTTTAGTTAACTACTGATAAATGTATCATGCAAATATAGCTGCAGTGTATGTGTGCATGTCCACTTCTATATCTCATCTCATTGCCACAATGAAGGAATGATCCAGATATTCAGTACCATATATGTAGTCACAGGTTTTATCCTGAAAGAGCAGCTGCATGGGACATAAACAGAGAAAAGCAAGTTCAATCTAGTTCAGTCAGTGTATGAAATGATAGTTCTTTGGGAAATGATTGAGTGATATAAGTACATGTGTGAATCAGTCCCTCAGCATACCAGGGACTAGATCTCTAAAATGGTATTTTAGGGATATGCAAATTATATTCTGAATTATGATAACATCATGAAGTTAAATAATTTTCTATCATAATAAATATAAAATACTTATTAGACAATATTATAAAGATAATTTTAATTAATCATACAATAGACCCCAAAGAAAACTTTCACAGATATCTCAGAAATTTGTACAATGACATATTTTATGAGATCTTGCCCTTCAGAGAGACAGTAGTATCCAGTAACTAGATATCCAGTTCCCAGTTTTGTTACAAATTAAAAACGAATCTATGAAGCATTAATTAAAATGTTGCTTATATATATTTTTGTAAAATTAGCACTTATTATATTCAGATTGGCCAGAACAGAATACAAATTGCCATCTCTAACTAGCACAGAAAGTGTATGACATCTTGTTTTTTTGTGCTTTGTTGATCTTGTAACTTTAAAAATGGGAACAATACAGTATTATCCAATTTCAGATGATTCAAGTTCAGATCAACATTGTAGAACCAACTTAGCTAAAGAAAATTATGTTCTGCTATTCTGTACTGCAGAGATAGCCATTTTTCTTGTTTGTCAAGCTCATTTTAGTTCTCATGCAGTACTGGGTGATTGTCTGACTACATTCAAAAATTGCAGAAATCTTCTGACAGACATCTAGGATCTGAAAGAATGGCCTCTTTTTTGCCAAGATTGTTGAGAACTCATTAGAGATCTCATTAGATCTCAGGTAAGAATGTTAAAGGTACTATGAAATTCCAACAATTTTTACTTTGTAGGGTACCTCAGGTAGCTGTGGGTGCCATTTTGCTGATTCTTACTATATAGTGACATCTGTCTTGCATCCAGAATAACTACATTATGCATTTTTTAATAGGTAACTCACATAGGTAAAGTATCCAATATTAATGAAATGTTCCTCTGTACCCTCAGTGCCTTCCAGTGTACTTCACTTTGTCTATCACACTGTGCTTCAAAGGATTTGGAGAGCCTATGGGATAATTTTAGAAAGGTGTGTGGGTCCACAGGAGGAGGAGAATTGAAAGTTCTGTTGTGTAAGACATTTGTTCGCATGACCTTGGTTCTTGCCCATTTATATTCAGTTGCCAAATTGCAGGCACTGGATAAAAATGAACTTAGTTCAGTAAATGTGGAAAAGTTAATTAATATATAGTCAAAACTGCCTTGCTGTGCTCACTTACCTGTTTTTGAATAGATTTTTATAGAATTGCATGGTAAAAGACTATATAAATTTCTTCTCTTAGGTATAAAGTACCATTGCTGGAAAATTGGAAGTGTAATTTATGATATATGATATAAATACAAATGAGGTTACTAAGTGCCTTATCTTTGAGCTGACTTTGATGATGATTATTATATGTTCTTTCATGTATTATGATTATATTTTGTGGTCATTTTTTTAGGATAAGCTGACCATAGTAGTTGGTCAGACAATCAAATTCTTACAATCATTACAGATATGAAAACCCCACTTGCTTTCAGTGGAATACATTTTTCCAAGAACCTTTTGCTCTATTTGAAAAAAGGAAGTTGTGCAACTTTGGTGTGGAGGGACACAGAAGCTCCAGACATCCCAAAGAATAAATTGTGTTTCAGAAGCCTACATAGCTTGGTGCCTGCTAGCCTACCTCTGACTCTTGTTCAATCTTACATCTGCCTGAGATATTTTCCAGATTTTTTTCAGGCATAAAATCATTGTTGCAAAGCTTTCTTTAGATTGTATATGATTGCTCCTGAGGTTTGGGGCGTTTCAGAAAGATACAGGAGGAGTAGCTGATGCTCTAGTAGGAGGATGGAGTTAGTCCCAAGAGGGCAAGTCAGAGCAATATGTGTAGAGAGTAAGGAAGATGACCTTGATGGGGGTCCAGAAAACATTTGGAAGTGACTCAGATACCTCCCTAATTCACTGAACTATAAAAAGGAGGAGCACATACAACACAATGAGATTTGCAAGATTGGTGTCAGCCCTACTAGGTAGACCAGACCAAGAAATCAGTTCTACAGGAAGGTTAACACTTCTTTTATTGAGATTGGCTATAATAACAAATCTTGCAAGTCTGATTATTGCTACACCAGTGACTGTTAGAAGAAGATATAACAGAAAAGAGGAAAATTTTCTCTTGCAATTGTCCTTCTACTCAGATTCACCTGAGTACAACTCTATGGTTTTCCAAAGTCTCCCTGGGTCAGGATTTTGATTTCAGTTTAACTCTCCTTTCCTTAGATGACAAAAATGAAGAGAGAAGATAGGAAAGAAACAGAGTAGCCACAAATCTATTCAAATCATCATTATTATTAGAAAATAAATCTGGAGAAGCAGGGATACCCTGAAACTGAGGGAAATCTATAGAGCAGGAGTAGAAAAATGGCAATAGATGATGGTGTCAGGTATGTGGGTTTTGCTAAAGCAGGGAACAAATTTATGTATTTACTATGGCAAAAATATATTTTACTTTTCCAAAGGAAGCTAAACAAGGTTTAAATATTTTTCTGAAGGTCCTGCTGAAGGTTTATTACGGCCATGTGCAAAGTTTCTAAAAGAGATGCATTCTTTATTAGTCACATTTCCTTAAATCACATGAAATAACAACTTATTGGAGCACTGATTATGTTCAACAGCATAACTCCACGTGGCAAATATATCAGCAAAATCAAACACCCTGTTATAAGGGGCGGCGTAGCTCTTTAAAAATGTTTCAGCACAACATACAAATCTTCAAAGGTTTATAATATATTTTTAAACAATGCAATATAAAACATGATTCAAACATAAAAATATTCATAATATATTTCTAGGACAATCCTCCAGTGGCAGTTATTAGATGTTACACATCACATGTTGTATACCATTACATATACACGCACACACGAAGACAGAAACATTCGTTCTCTTGCATCTACTATGAATCTCATGAACTGCTATTCAGAACAGCTTTTTGCTTAAAGTAATAATTGTTGCTGAAAATATATAATTATTTCATATGTAGCTGTTTCCATAGTAACACAAACAAACAATGTACTTACATGGCAACCTCAGTGGATTATTAAAGTTGAGTTGGTAAATATTGTTTTGCTACAGGGAGTGTAGTGTTAACAGTATAGTCACCTGGCTTGCAGTCTTCTACCACAATGGCAAATCTAAGGTTTCAAAACTACAGGAATTTTGGACTTGATGGTATCAACAGATTTTTTTCTATGACTTTCTTATGTTTTACTCCAGTCTTTTTAAAATTAGTATACAAGGGGGGAAATGCTAGCTCGGTTTTTCTAAAAGTTTTTTTATGAGCTATATGCTAACATGCTAGGTGGCATCCCCAACATAAATTTCAGGAGATGTCTCGCTATTGCCACCTAAAAAAGTTTAACAAAATATATTCTCCCCTTCCAAGCAAATGTTGCTGCAGTACAGTACAGTCTGCTGCAATCAATGGTGGTGCACATCCTGGAGACACAGCAGTGTTCTTCTCTAGCTTTATTACACGGAGTCATAGTCAAGTGTGGCCAAGAGAGAATATGATGTGACTGTGTAGTGAACACTGTGTGTTACTCTTACGCTTCCTTTTTGCTATAGAAGTTGAATGTGGGATTTGTGCTTTGTCAGAATTCCGGCGGTCTTCTCAGAGCACACTGCCCTCGAACACAACGATTCCCTTTTTTTAAAACAAAGCCACACGCACAACAGGTAAAGAACTGGAGCCCTCTAACAGATTTAATGCAGGATACAGATTTTTGCCCCACCATGTACACCGTGCTCATTGGCCTTCACTTGCCCCAGGGGGTTTGTGCTATTTCTCCCCACCCGATTAAAGCTGAGAGAGAAGACATACTCTCCTTGCTTTCACCGGAGCAGCCTCTGTTCTACAAAGTGGAGGAGCTTTGCTTGTAATCCCTCAAAACAACAGAGGTGTACGTTGCATTGGGGGGTATGCGAAGCACTGATTCGGACACAGGAGAACTGGGCACAGAACTGCCTGAAGCCACCGAATCTCGAAAAGGAGATGGAGGTGTCAGTGCTGGTGAATCTTCTAGAGTCACTTTGCTGGTGGCCTGCTCTTCTTCCTCTTCCTCCTCCTCTAAATTTCCTGGCCTCTCGTACACATACTCTTGGATAAGCTTAAACTTTTCATTTTCTTCTTCCTCTTCCTCCTCCTCCTCCTCCTCCTCCTCCTCCTCTTCAGATGGGAGTGAAACTGGCTCTTTACTAAAAGTGCCCATTTGTAGTGGCAATATCTGTTGCTGCATTGCCGGAGGATGGTATATGGGCCTCAGTCCATTTCCTGCGCCAGACATGGGCATTACAGCATTGAAATCAGGAATGCCAGTGGCAAATTTGTTGACCACACCTTGCAGCTGCTCCATAATGGATCGCGGTGGTGGGGGCGGTGGTGGGGGTGGCAGGACTTTGGGACTCTGTATGTCCTCTGCTGCTGCCTGTAGTGGAGGCATCACCATCACCCTCCTGTGTACAACCATGGAAGGGCTACTCATTTGGCTGAAGTGCACCGACTCGCTTCCTTCCTCCTCCACAACATTGTACAAAGTCTTACTGCTGATGTCTGAAAAAGTGAGGCTCTTGCTTGGACCTGGATAACTTTTAGTTAGGGGCTTGATCACTGCTGTCTGATTGCATCCTAGCTCCTTACTCTTCACATGCACTGAGAGCCTGTGCCACATATGTTGTCCCTTGGGAATTCCTCTTCCACCTGGTTCAGACCATGACACAGACTTGCCATTAGAACTAGAAATAAAATAAAGATGTGTTTATTTACATTTGCATAGGCAGACATAGGCAACCACAACAAATTTATCCTATAAAATCTCTGTGTGTTTTGTAGTATTAGTTCCTTCGAGAAGCATCTACAATGGGCAACAGCCACTGTTCTTAAATCTAGAAGTTCTTGCTGTCTGCAAATGAAGGCAAATTATTCCCTGTTACTTTCAGATGTTGTGGACAGAGCAACCTGTTGCAGAATATGCAAGGCTGCCACCAAACACAGAAGGTAATGGATCTTCATTCCCTCTCACTGTAATGTTAGTAAGGGATAGCAGATGAACGGATTCCAAGATTCTCTGTCCCCAGTTAATAAACTAGCATGGGAGGAGGTGCAAAGAAACATCAACAGCAATGACCATGACAAACATATATTTTCTTTATTAAATATTGCTAGGGTGAATGGGGTAAAATGTTGTTATTATTAATTATAACAGCAGCTTCCTTCAGGTTCAGCTTCTCTTTCAAAAGTAAGCAGCCTATACATTTAAGGAGGAGAAAAGTTGGTGAATGGGAAATGGATAGGCCCATCTCCTGCTCTGTTGTCAGTCTATTATTCTTAACAAACATAAAACAAATGCAAGTGCATCAGATATAGAGTTTCCACAAATATGGGAGGTTATTCAGTGCAGAAACTCAACTTCAGTCTTTAAAAAGTACTAAACCTTATAATATATAATCTTCCGACTGTAACGTTTGATTTGCATTTCACTTGCAACAATTTTCACAACACGTAGACATTTGTCTGGATGTGGTAAAAACAGTAATGCACAACTTCCTAGGTCCAATTTGTGGATGGGTGGAATTACAATGAGAAATATTCTCATTCATCTATTGCATGTTCTGCATTAGTTGTGGAAGCTTGAGGGTTACCTTCTCATGGCACATATATTGTACAGTTGAACTTGTGTATATACTGCAAAAAATCAGTCTCACAATCTCTATGATGACAACTGTCTTAAAACACAATACAGACGTAACTAATATCTGTAAATATATTATAAATTTAGTAAGTATAAATGACCTTAAATACTTGGGGGGGGGGGAGGAATTAAAAGGACGTCAAAAGGCAGACCATATTTATGTCTATTTGCTCTAGGACAACCCCACTATTTAGAAACAGGCTACATTTATGATATGGAAACACCAAGAAAGTACGGTAATGAATGAGAATCGAAACAGTTTAGGTACACGTGGCTTTAAGCAAGACTGTTACTCTGAGAATTCTTTGGGGATGATGATGGCTTAACATCCGTATTCATTGCAGTGGCAGCTTTAGATGGTTAGTGGATTTTTTTTTTGTAAGTATGTTATGTTGTTAGACACTATAGGAGTGTGGCATAATAAAACAGTCCTGTAAAATAGCTTTAAAAGGCTAGTATTTCTGGTGACTTGTTCTATGGAACATGGAAGTAAGGAAGTATTTTATTCTGAAGAATGGATTGAAATGTGAAGTGAAACACTTTTCAGTTCAAGAAGAGTTTATGATGGAAGTTATGAAACAGTCAGGTTAGCTGGGTTAGATAGTAAATATCTATGTGTGTGGCATGTGGAAAGTGGAAACTTTCTGTTGCAGGCTCTGTGCTGCTCAGAGTAGAGACTGCAATGATCTAATTCTATCTAAGTCAGCTTTATGTGGATGTAAGTGGCACTTTCTGATGCAAATCACTTGCTTTGCAATGCAGTATGGCTCTGAAGTTATCGGCTAATTTCTCAACATCTGAAGGCTGTACTGTGTTGCAATGTAAATGCTGAACTAGGTAAATTGACATTTTATCCAGTGCTATAGTTCTATAGATTGAAGCTCAGTTATTTCTCAAATGAAGATCTATGTAGACACCCTCAGGAAGGAGTAAATCAAGGCACAGAGTACATTTTAAATAGAAATTTGACTCTAGCTGCTTACATGTAAAAGGCTGAAGTCTTTTTAATGGGTGCCACAGGGGTTATTTAGTTGGAAAAGCTTGGTGGAAAGCCTCATCTTTCTTGTATAGGATTTGTAAATTAATGGTATTGGAAATTTTTCTGTAGGAGAAAATGAAGCAAACTCCAAATTTAGATGGGCAAGGAGTTAGTTCAAACAATGTATTTGATGTTCAGAAAACAGGTCAAAGATGCTCTGTAAGATATGTGGGGTTGGATTTTATAGTTTTATATAGGTATAGAACACACTGCAATACAGAATATATTGAACAATTATACTGATTAATGCATATAAAAATGACACACTTAAAGCACAACTCATATATATTGGTATATGCCCACATATGTAAACACACACACACACACACACACACACACACAGAGGCTGACTCCCAGGCAAGAAGATATAGAATCACAGACTTATACTACTCCATTTCAGTAAGACTGCTTTAAGAGTTGATTTTGTTTGTAACACACCATTCTTTATGCTGAAAAAACTTTACAGATTAAACAATAATATCTCAAGAAACATCAGCTCCTTGAAATGAAATGTACTCAGATCTATTTACCAGCATATTTCATTTTGTATTGTGCAGAAGTCATACCTGTTGGATTCTATATTATACAGGTAGTCATCATTTAGCAACTGCCTTGTTTAGTGTCATTTGCAGATTTAAAAAATGATGAAAAAGAAACTTTACAACCAATCCTCACATTTATGACCTTCACAGGTCTGTAAAGCAAAGGAAAACTGAAGTAAGATCATAAGTACAGTCATGGTTTCACTTAGTGACTGTGTCGCTTAACAACAGTTGCCGGTCCCAATTGTGATTATTAAAACGAGGACTACCTGTATAACTAAAATGTTGTGTTATAATTGCAGCTAGGTTGTCAATTTTCAGTGTGTTTCCGATATTAAGACTGGTGTGTTTATAAGCTAAGAAGCTATGAATTGCCATAAACTTTCTGATATATACTGCATTCTGAATATTTTAACAGACCTTTCATATTTATATATTTAAAACTATAAAGCAAGATTTGGCAATCCAGCAACCCATTTATTCTTTGCTAGCTGCCTGAGATCATGACACGTAAATTTTACAGCAAAATGATTGGGGTGGATGATTTTTTTGTTTGTTTGTTTTCATTTTTTTGTTCTGTTTTCTTCCTTTTCTCCAAAATAAGGTCAGAAATAGGAGCACGAAGCCTCTGCACACAAACAATTCCAATTTCCATTCTGACCCTAATAAATATGCCCCAAAATCACTCCACTGAAATTCAGTAATTTTGCCACTGGCTTTCAGCACTGTGATTTTTGGTCAGTGGGGCAAGAGGCTTCCCACTCCTATTCCCATTCTTAATCCTGCTCCCCCATTAGAAAAAATGGGCTGAAGAATAGCTTGACACCCTTTCAGGGAAGTTCCATGTGGTTCTTCAGCTGGTCAGAGAGAGGATGACCATCCAAGCCATCAGGAGGTTGCTTACACTTACCATTTAGGATTACTTCATATTCATTTATACACATTTTCTGTACTAAGGAGTGCAAGTACTATATTCTAGAAAATCATCTTAAATTTATTTTACATTTACTGTACTAGTTTTATCAAAACTCTTATTGACTTCTGGAAATATCTGGACTGTTTCTCCTGGCAGCACATTCAGAATTTTACAGTGGTACCTCGGGTTACGAATGCCTCTGTTAACGAACTTTTTGGGTTACGACCAGCTCCGGCCGCAAAAATTTACCTCGGTTTTCGAAC